AGCGGCAGCAGCCCTCATCTCCACACATTTACTTCCTTTTGTTTTGTATTGTTTCATACCCCTTTTTGGTTTTGTTAATAAACCCTGTTACGTTTTACTAGTGTTTGTTCTTTATGTTGCCCTCCATGAGCCGGGGTGTAACACCAGCCCCTTTCCTGCTTGTATCTCTCATTGTGTCATATGTTGATTAAAACCGACCAGCTGTTTTAAGTGAGTAAGCCAGACCTATTGTACGTGTTTTTAATGACAGGGGAAACTTGGAGGAAACCTATGCAGACACGGGGAGAACATGCAAACTCCACTGAGAAAGTCCCTGTTCCGACCGGGATTTGAACCCAGGATCTTCTTGCTGAGTAGCGAGAGTGCTAACCACGCAGCCACCCGTGTCTATTGACCCTGTGCATGTGACGTCCCAGCCACGCCCACTCTCCATGACAGACGGCGGAAGTATAACTGCGAGCCTTCGCAAACTTGACCAAAACAACCTGTTTTGCCGAATTAAAACTGTGATGTTGTGCAGTGGTGTGTCCTGTTGGTTGTACTGACAGGACACACACACACACACACACACACACACACACACACACACACACACACACACACAGTGTGGTTGGTTGTACTAACAGGACACACACACACACACACACACACACAGTGTGGTTGGTTGTACTAACAGGACACACACACACGCACACACACACAGTGTGGTTGGTTGTTCTAACAGGACATGAGCCATATGTGTCTTTTTATCTGATTCCTGCTCGTCATGAAGACAGAAGACGACGATGATAACCAAAGGACTGAGCCGTCCGAGGACTAACTAATGTGCAGTGAACACTTTTTACAACATAAATCAATCACAAGTTTGTATTTATTCTCTTTCCATTCATTTATTTGGAGGACAATGACACAACAAACACTTGAAGTCAAACGTGTCTCTTACCTCTGTCCTGTCTGTGCGCAGCAACATTGAAATTTCCTCACTGTGGCACAAATAAAAGATCTATCTTATCTTAGACGCAAGATGCGTTTTTCACTGTTTTCCTCTCTGTCCATATGTATCATGTTTGGCTGTAGACAGAAAAGCGGACTATTGCTAATGTGCTAATGCTAATGTCCTAATGCTACCATCAAAACGTACATTTAAATCTGCTCCAGTGTGAGGAGATGTTAACGATATAATGATAAAGATCATGTGAGGTGAACTCGGGCAAAGTGGGACATTTCATTTATCGATAAAATTTACTGTGGGGAGAAGGTACCGGTCAACATCCAGTTCTGCGATCCTTAACTTCTCCAAATACCGCTCTTTGTGAGCCTTGACAAGATGTCCTACTTTCAGCAATTCAGCAATTTCTGGGCGGCTAACGTCAGGTCTTGCTTCAGACGTCAGGTCTTGCTTCAGACGTCAGGTCTTGCTTCAGACGTCAGGTCTTGCTTCAGACGTCAGGTCTTGCTTCAGACGTCAGGTCTTGCTTCAGACGTCAGGTCTTGCTTCAGACGTCAGGTCTTGCTGCTGACGTCAGGTCTTGCTTCAGACGTCAGGTCTTGCTGCTGACGTCAGGTCTTGCTTCAGACGTCAGGTCTTGCTGCTGACGTCAGGTCTTGCTTCAGACGTCAGGTCTTGCTTCAGACGTCAGGTCTTGCTTCAGACGTCAGGTCTTGCTTCAGACGTCAGGTCTTGCTGCTGACGTCAGGTCTTGCTTCAGACGTCAGGTCTTGCTTCAGACGTCAGGTCTTGCTTCAGACGTCAGGTCTTGCTTCAGACGTCAGGTCTTGCTGCTGATGTCAGGTCTTGCTTCAGACGTCAGGTCTTGCTTCAGACGTCAGGTCTTGCTTCAGACGTCAGGTCTTGCTGCAGACGTCAGGTCTTGCTTCAGACGTCAGGTCTTGCTTCAGACATCAGGTCTTGCTGCAGACGTCAGGTCTTGCTGCAGACGTCAGGTCTTGCTTCAGACGTCAGGTCTTGCTTCAGACGTCAGGTCTTGCTTCAGACGTCAGGTCTTGCTTCAGACGTCAGGTCTGGCTTCAGACGTCAGGTCTTGCTTCAGACGTCAGGTCTTGCTTCAGACGTCAGGTCTTGCTTCAGACGTCAGGTCTTGCTTCAGACGTCAGGTCTTGCTTCAGACGTCAGGTCTTGCTTCAGACGTCAGGTCTTGCTTCAGACGTCAGGTCTTGCTTCAGACGTCAGGTCTTGCTTCAGACGTCAGGTCTTGCTGCAGACGTCAGGTCTTGCTTCAGACGTCAGGTCTTGCTTCAGACGTCAGGTCCTGCTTCAGACGTCAGGTCTTGCTTCAGACGTCAGGTCTTGCTTCAGACGTCAGGTCTTGCTTCAGACGTCAGGTCTTGCTTCAGACGTCAGGTCTTGCTTCAGACGTCAGGTCTTGCTTCAGACGTCAGGTCTTGCTTCAGACGTCAGGTCTTGCTGCCGCGCCAGTGTTGGCGCCAGATTCAAAATTCAAATGTAGTAATACAGGTCGCCAGCAGATGGCGCCTCACAGACGGTTTTAGGCAGAAAGTTTAAAGCCTAGTGTATACTTGTGCAGCGCTGCTTACGTTAGCGGTTGCGGTGGACCTACGCAAGCACATTTGTGTTTATATTCCTTGCGGAGTTTTGAGCAGAATGTTGTAATCCCACAACCAACCACATGATGGCGATCTCACAAGAGTTGCTTGAGAAACCAAAGCGGTCTCATTTATGCTGCTTCTTTCTCCTCTTCAGAACAAAAACATGAACAAACCGAGCTGTTTGAGATCATTACATGTGTTTCTACTGTAGGTTCATGTGATAGTTCTATGGACTTATTATTTATTAACTCATTTAACTGTGATGTTGTGAATAAAGACACAGTTCTGTGGAAACATAGTTATTATTAAATTATATTCATCACAAACAGCAAAACAATAAGTGGTAAATATCTGAGACAAACATGAACAATTTAAAAGTGCAGGAGGAATGGAACAGACGCGATAAGCTACGATTCAAACAAGACAGGAACAGTTTATATGTTATATATATGTTATATATATGTTATATATATGTTAGATATATGTTAGATATAAGTTATATATATGTTAGATATAAGTTATATATATGTTAGATATAAGTTATATATATATATATATGTTAGATATATGTTATATATAAGTTATATATATGTTAGATATAAGTTATATATATGTTAGATATAAGTTATATATATGTTATATATAAGTTATATATATGTTATATATAAGTTATATATATGTTAGATATAAGTTATATATATGTTATATATAAGTTATATATATGTTAGATATAAGTTATATATATGTTAGATATAAGTTATATATATGTTAGATATAAGTTATATATATGTTAGATATAAGTTAGATATATGTTAGATATAAGTTATATATATGTTAGATAGTCCACAGTCTCCTGTATATCAGGCTCTCTGCTCCATAGTGCCTCGTCCATGCTCCTGCTGCAGTCGCTCCGTGCTTCCTTCCAATACACACACACGGACCAATCACAGCGGAGCTTCTCTCAAACACGGACCAATCACAGCAGAGCTTCCTTGTGGCGACCCTTACGTAGTTAGAACATTTCGATGCTGCGCGGCAGGCGACGTAAGGGCCTTGCGGTGACCAACGCGTTGCACAAGTGACGTCACGTCACCTCCGTAAGCTCCGCGCCGCGAGAGTATAAACTAGGCTTAACTTTCAACTTATTTGCACCAAAGTGACAAAATTATGACCAGGATATGAAGACAACACTATTGGACACTCATTTATACCGTTTATCAGCAAAAAAAAGTTGATTTGAGGGTGAGTTGTCCTTTAAGAGTTGTGTCCGTTTTCCTCTCGCCAAAATGCTAATGCTAATGCTAGTTTCCACCACTTCCGCCGTAAGCTCCTTCACAATCGTGTGACAAATATGTACCTGTGCTCCTCTCCTCTTGTTGCTGGTTCATTTTATCGTCTCCGTCTTTGTTCCTGGTTCCTGTGTTAAGATTGAATTTTGTGTTTTACCTTTTTTTACCTTGAACTTAAGTTTATCTTCATCATTAAATCATTATTTTTGCTTTCCTGCGTTTTGAGTCCTCCATCTTCTCATTTCGTGACAGATAAACTTGGTCTTAATGCAGTCTGGACCAGCATCGCACCAGCAAACCCATTCATGATCTGTTGTACTAAAGCTTATCTGATCACCTGACCTCTGCTTAAAGAATCTCTTACAATTGTTTGCAGTGCGTTGAATTTTATTTGATATCCTTTGATTAATTCTTGCCCAAATGAATGGTTTTGTAGGGTCACAATGTATCCAGCTGGGTCTAGGTAACAGTTGTGGTGGATTGTAAGATGAATCGTAAAGTATAAAAAGGTAATGGCCTCAGTATCCCAAACTACATGTATAGACGCAGTATTCTGGCCGTGCTGAGCTGACAACGCTCCGGCAGCAGCAGAGCTCTGGGGTGTCCCATGTGCACTCACGCCACTTTGATGAACAGCCAACCAGCAGAAAACAGCAGCAGAGTTTTATTTTAGTGAATGAACTGACAGAAGCTGTGCCGTAACAAAGGTCGACTTGTGCATCAACAACATGGACTTTAACATTGTTTGTAAAAAAAACAAATAGAAATTGGGTTTCTCCCAATAATCAGAGTGGAATAATGTCTCAACTGAACTCAAAAATCAAACAAGTTACAATATTTTTTACCTGTGAACTGATAAAGTGTCTGTTGAGGCCAGACCTGTCAGCACTGATTGAAGATTGTGTTTTATCTAATGAGCCTTAATGCAGTTGTAAATATAGTTATCCATAAAGAGATGTAAATGTAACTGATGTAGAATGTAGTGAATGATAAAGAACAGATTAATGTTTTCATATTGTATTTTGTCATTTATTTTTCTGTGACCGGGGACTGCAAATGGAAACTTGCATCTTTCAATAATCCGGTGCAGAACATATCTGTCTCCAGGAGCTTCATGTCTCTGTACGTGTCCCTTCATTAAAGATGAACTTAAGCATCACCATCCTGCTGAAGAAAACTGATCTCGTGCCTCAGAAAACGTTCATGTGGGTCTTTTTCACCCTGCAGGCTTCAGTCCTACAGGGCGTGGCCTCAGTCCTACAGGGCGTGGCCTCAGTCCTACAGGGCGTGGCCTCAGTCCTACAGGGCGTGGCTTCAGCCCTGCAGGGCGTGGCCTCAGTCCTACAGGGCGTGGCCTCAGTCCTACAGGGCGTGGCCTCAGTCCTACAGGGCGTGGCCTCAGTACTACAGGGCGTGGCCTCAGTCCTACAGGGCGTGGCTTCAGCCCTGCAGGGCGTGGCCTCAGTCCTACAGGGCGTGGCCTCAGTCCTACAGGGCGTGGCCTCAGTCCTACAGGGCGTGGCCTCAGTCCTACAGGGCGTGGCCTCAGTCCTACAGGGCGTGGCCTCAGTCCTACAGGGCGTGGCCTCAGTCCTACAGGGCGTGGCCTCAGTCCTACAGGGCGTGGCCTCAGTCCTACAGGGCGTGGCCTCAGTCCTACAGGGCGTGGCCTCAGTACTACAGGGCGTGGCCTCAGTCCTACAGGGCGTGGCTTCAGCCCTGCAGGGCGTGGCCTCAGTCCTACAGGGCGTGGCCTCAGTACTACAGGGCGTGGCTTCAGTACTACAGGGCGTGGCCTCAGTCCTGCAGGGCGTGGTTCAGCTCCGTGATGAACCGTCAGCATGTGGACGTGTCTGTGTTTGATGTGTGTCAGTGTCGGTCCTGTGTGTGTTTGATGTGTGTCTGTGTCGCTCCTGTGTGTGTTTGATGTGTGTCAGTGTCGCTCCTGTGTGTGTTTGATGTGTGTCTGTGTCGCTCCTGTGTGTGTTTGATGTGTGTCAGTGTCGGTCCTGTGTGTGTTTGATGTGTGTCTGTGTCGCTCCTGTGTGTGTTTGATGTGTGTCTGTGTCGCTCCTGTGTGTGTTTGATGTGTGTCAGTGTCGCTCCTGTGTGTGTTTGATGTGTGTCTGTGTCGCTCCTGTGTGTGTTTGATGTGTGTCAGTGTCGGTCCTGTGTGTGTTTGATGTGTGTCTGTGTCGCTCCTGTGTGTGTTTGATGTGTGTCTGTGTCGCTCCTGTGTGTGTTTGATGTGTGTCAGTGTCGGTCCTGTGTGTGTTTGATGTGTGTCTGTGTCGCTCCTGTGTGTGTTTGATGTGTGTCAGTGTCGCTCCTGTGTGTGTTTGATGTGTGTCTGTGTCGCTCCTGTGTGTGTTTGATGTGTGTCTGTGTCGCTCCTGTGTGTGTTTGATGTGTGTCTGTGTTGCTCCTGTGTGTGTTTGATGTGTGTCAGTGTCGCTCCTGTGTGTGTTTGATGTGTGTCAGTGTCGCTCCTGTGTGTGTTTGATGTGTGTCTGTGTCGCTCCTGTGTGTGTTTGATGTGTGTCCCTCGGGGCCGGTGTCAGCGTCACGTGTGAAGGCGGCCCACAAAGCCATTCGTATTCCACCCTCTGCCACACATGTAATGTGGCCCATATTTAAGAATCAAGTCAAATATCAAATGTCACAGATGTCCAGCGGGAGAGCTCTGTGCCGCTCTGCTGCCTGACGAAGAGACTAAGACATTTTTATTTGAGGTCAAGTTTATATTGATGTTTGTCTTAATGAACATTTTAATTAGGGTTAGCGTTCTGCTCTGATTCTTTCATCACATGTTTTTTCACAGTTTACCTGCAGGCAGCAGTAACACAAACCCACTCACCTTCTTCATCTCCTTTAATCAGTGTCATAGAGAAGCTTTACTGCACATACTGTATTACTTATTAAAACACGACTGCTTCACAACAGACTTTCAGTTTTCAAATCCATGTATCATTGTAAAGCCCTCACTCACAACAGCAGTCGTCTCAAAGGACTTTACAAAGTTCAGAGATTAGGAAGAGCATCCTCAGAAGAAATCTTAAGCCTGGTTCACACGAGACGATTTTAAAATTGTCGGCCAATTTTTCTCCGTGTTAGACCCCACACGGGGAGATTAAAAATCCTGCGTCTAACCACTTTGGTCGTGCAGTGTGTGGTGCGTAGCCACACGGCAAGATCACGCAAGCCACAAACATCACACACGAACCGACACCCCCCCGAGCATTCCCAGGTCAGACGGAAATCTCACAAAATCTCTCGAGATCAAGCGTGACTTCAGAGTAAACAGTCATGGCGGACGAAGAGGATGCAGTGGCGATAGTGTGCAGTTTGTTGTTAACAGAGAAGACACGTAATCCAAAGAAAAGGCAATGGTCAAAGCCATGCTGCTGTGTTTTGGTTTTTTTCCGGTGTTTCCTCACCGGCTTGTCACCTCGTCTTCTTATTGGCTACACGCCGTAGTCATGGCAACGCGCTCGCTTGTCCTCGGAGGACACCACACACGACAAGAAATCGGGGCCAAAACAATCCAACATGTTGGATATCCCCGATTTGAGATCGGGAGCAGTCCCGATGTCCTTCCGAGCGACGAGTGCAGTCTTAACACACCACACACGGCAGGATAATCTGTAAGATTTTGTTACGGAAATCGGAGCGTTTCTTAAGATTGTCGTAAGGGGTAAATCGGGTCTAAATCGGCCTAAATATCCTGCCGTGTGAACCAGGCTTTACACTGACCCATGAGTGACGGTGAAGCCGTCTACACAAGAACATACTGTACATTTCAGGAACTGTGTTTATTAAGTTAAATGTCTTCAGTCAACAAAATGTGAATAAAGAAAACATAGAAATGACTTGATCATGAATCACATAAGAATCATGAATGAACCAATCGTGATATTCTCAACCTTAACGTTTATCACGGCTCAATGGTGGCTGAGGAAGTAGATCTTTGTTTGATTGTCTGGTTTTGAGGCAAAAGGAGGAAACTTGGTGTGTTTGATTGAAATAAAATGACTGGTGCTGCTGCAGGTCTGTGTTAAATCTAACACTCAAGATTACATTTGCCAGCAGTGTGCTTACACAGTATATAATTATTATATCTGATCTAGTGCCCTGCACTGGGACCGGAGTGGTCAGACTGGTTTGGGAGCAACGACATCAAAAGTACAGTCGTTCTCGTGTTTTGGGTCAGAAACAAACTCACAAAGAAAAGAAAATCAGCAAAGTAAAGCGGTGTCACAATGGTCAGAAACAACTCAAACATAAACAACTCTAACTGAACTCCAGCCTGAGCCTCTGATTGGTCCGGATCTAACGGAGCAGAGCCAGACCAAACTTCCTGAAGGTGAAGTAGGCGGGGCTAAAGCTGCACCAGGACTAACTAAACTCCTCTGTGTGTAAATGACAAAAAGACTTTGGCTCTGAAATGTGCTGTAATTATTTTTCAATCATGAGAATTTCAAATACATGCACAGAAGTGTTGGTAAGTAGCAGAATACATGTAACAAATACTAAATACAAATACCGGGTTTTCAGAATGACTAAAACCATTGTACCTCTGCGTAGTGACGAAGGCTCTGCTCTGTGTTGTGTTGAAAGGGTCTTATTGTATTATTTATTTATAGTTTCTTTGGTTGGGACAGTTCATGTTCATGAACACATCAGTCTGGACTGTAGCCATGGGAGTGGTAGGGGAAACCGGAGTACCCGGAGGAAACCTACGCAGACACGGGGAGAACATGCAAACACCACTCAGAAAGGCCTTGTTCCGACTGGGATTCGAACCCAATGGAATGTATTCCATTGGTGTATTCCATTGGTGTGCAGAACAAGATGGTGTGCAGAACAAGATGGCGCCTCGTACGGTCGACATGGCTCTTTGCTGCTCTCTTTTTCTTTTGTTTTTACTTTTTAACTGTGCATCTGGCTGTTCCTACACCCGTGAGGAACTTATGAACATCCGACCCACCGTTCCCATGGACCTATTGCCTGTTTTCTTGGCATCTGCGGCTGATTTAGTTCATGTTCTAGCCAAAAAAGTGTGGGCCCGTAAAAGGGGAAAGCGCGGAGGCTCGTGCGTCTTAAGAGAAGAGGAGCGCGCACGGCTCTCCCCGGCATTTTTCTCTCCAACGTACGCTCACTGGGCAATAAGATGGACGAACTCAGCCTGCTCATGAGAAGAAACAAGGACTTCGCCACATCCTGTGTCCTCTGCTTCACTGAGACCTGGCTAAATGAGCGGATCCCGGACTGCGCTCTGGAGCTGCAGGGCTTTGGGCTGTTTCGCGCGGATCGCCATTGTGCGCTCTCAGGGAAGAGCAGAGGCGGAGGGCTCTGTTTCTACGTCAATACAAACTGGTGTAACGATGTGACAGTGATCTCCAAGCACTGCTCTCCTGCTCTGGAATATCTTTTCATTCATTGTAAACCATATTACTCCCCGCGGGAAATTGTTTCATTCATTCTTGCCTCTGTTTACATACCGCCATGCGCGGACGCAGAGCAAGTACTGTGTATGGAACGCTTATACCCGGACTCTCTGATTATTATCCTGGGGGATTTTAATAAGGGAAACTTGAGCCAGGAATTACCCAAATACAGACAGTTTATCAAATGCCCGACCAGAGAGGAGAACACTCTGGATCACTGTTACACCACCGTGCGCGGAGCTTTTCGTGCTGTTCCCAAGCCAGCCCTCGGCTTCTCAGATCACTCCATGATACATCTGGTTCCTGCTAACAGACAGAGACTAAAGCTCTCGAAACCTGCAGTGAGGAGCTCCAAAGTGTGGTCTGATGAAGCTGTGGAAGAGCTGCATGCATGGAATCTACAGACTGGGACCTTTTCAGAGCTGCCACAGACAGCTTGGATGAATATACGGACACTGTGACGTCATACATCCACTTCTGTGAGGATAGCATCATTCCAACAAGGACCAGGGTCATCTATAACAACGACAAACCCTGGTTCACTGCTAAACTCCGGCAGCTCAGGAAAGCAAAGGAGTCTGCTTTCAGGGAGGGGGACCGCAGCGGCTACAAAGCAGCTAAATATCAGTTCAGGAAAGAACTGAAAGCAGCCAAGTCCCGGCACAGAGAACGACTACAGGAGCAGTTTGGTAACAACGATACTGCTTCTGTCTGGAGGGGCCTACGGGAGATCACCAACTACAAACCCAAAGCCCCCCCCTGTGCTGATGACCACAAGCTAGCTGACGATCTGAACTTATTTTTCAGTCGCTTTGATGCTGCCCCTGACACCTCTCCCTCCCCCACCCCCCACTACTCTAACGACCCACCCATCAGCCCTGCCCCCAGCCTAACAATAGCCGCTAAAGAGATTAAACAACTCTTCCTGAGGCTGCACCCCCGCAAAGCTCCTGGCCCGGACCACGTGTCTCCGGCCACTCTGAGACACTGCGCCAGTGAGCTTACTCCTGTGTTCACGGACATTTTCAACTCCTCTCTGCAGTCCTGCCATGTCCCGGCCTGCTTCAAATCCTCCATCATTGTCCCCGTCCCGAAGAAGCCCAGGATCACAGGACTCAATGACTACAGACCTGTAGCACTTACGTCTGTCGTCATGAAGTCATTTGAACGCCTGGTTCTCTCCCATCTCAAGTCCCTCACCTCCCCCCTCCTGGACCCCCTGCAGTTCGCCTACAGAGCCAACAGATCTGTAGACGACGCCATTAACCTGGCCCTCCACCACATCCTACAGCACCTGGACTCCCCGGGGACCTACGCCAGGGTCCTGTTCGTGGACTTCAGCTCTGCCTTCAACACAATCCTGCCATCCCTGCTCCAGGACAAGCTCTCCCAGCTCAACGTGCCCGATTCCACCTGCAGGTGGATCACTGACTTCCTGACGGACAGGAAGCAGCGAGTGCGTCTGGGGAAGAATGTCTCGGACTCTCGGATTATAAATACAGGAGCCCCACAGGGCTGTGTTCTTTCTCCCTTGCTCTTTTCCCTGTACACCAACCACTGCACCTCCAGCCACGACTCCGTGAAGCTGATCAAGTTCGCGGACGACACCACCCTCATTGGACTCATCTCCAACAACGATGAGTCCGCCTACAGGAGGGAGGTGGACCGGCTGGTGTCCTGGTGCAGTGGTAACAACCTGGAGCTGAACGCCCAGAAGACAGTGGAGATGATTGTGGACTTCAGGAAGAGCACTGTCCCCCCGCCCCCACCCTCCCTGATGGACTCCCCCATCACCTCTGTGGAGTCCTTCCGTTTCCTGGACACCACCATCACCCAGGACCTCAAGTGGGAGCCGACCATCAGCTCCCTCATCAAGAAGGCCCAGCAGAGGATGTACTTCCTGCGGCAGCTCAGGAAAGCCAAGCTGCCTGCACAGATGTTGGTGCAGTTCTACACGGCCATCATCGAGTCCATCCTCACCTCCTCCATCACCGTGTGGTTCGCTGGAGCCACAGTCAGGGACAAACAGAGACTACAGCGCATTGTGCGCTCTGCAGAGGAAGTGATCGGCCGCAGCCTTCCATCGCTGCAGGACCTGTACGTCGCCCGAGCTCGAGGCCGGGCTGGTCGTATCACAGCCGACCCCTCTCACCCTGCACATGGACTATTCCAACCACTCCCCTCAGGCAGGAGGCTGCGGTCCATCAGGACTAGAACCTCCCGCCACAAGAACAGTTTCTTCCCCTCTGCTGTTGGACTCTTGAACACTTCTTAACCTGTCCCCCCGCCCTTTATAAAGTCACTTTACTGCCCATCATACGTCACTTTACTTCACTGTACTGCTGTCACCTTACATTGTGTGCACCATGTGCACTTGTATATTGTAAATAGTAACTGTAACTCTATTTTAAATTTAAATTTATTCTTTAGAAGTGTTTTTTATTCTTATTTTTATTATCTCTTTTTGACTGTTGCACTGAGCCAAAGCAATTTCCAAGTCTGTGACCTCCCGTTACTTACGTTGGCAATAAAAATGATTCTGATTCTGATATTGTTGTGTACACACACACACACACATGCACATATTACACACACACGTCATATACAAATATATTATTATATAGATGGAAAAGGTTTTGCTGAAGCTTCAACAATAATTAAAACAATCATACATACAGCTGGTGCAGAAACCCATTGCTGCGATATTACATGACACTATTATGCAAATGAGCTGATTCAGAACTATAAACGCAGCATGTAGAACACTAAAAACATGTACAATAGGTCTGGCATGCGCCTCCTGTACTGGCGACCCCGCTCCCATCTCTGTGTGGAGTGAGAGACAAATGCCCAAAAATAACAATTGTAAACCGCTTTGTGACTCTGGTCTGTGAAAGGCGGTGTATAAATAAAGATTACTTACTTACTTACTTACTTACGTTGCCAGATCCTTTGGGCAGAAGCTGTCTCCAACACTGACGGACAGTGACAGACTTGTTCCAACTTTATTCCGCTTTATAAAGCACCACATTTTGGATATGTATTTCTCCTCTCCGGCCTGGTGCTCTGCCCTGGGCCTGGCTCAGGACCCAGTGGAGCGTTAAATTGCCTCTCCCTGAACTCTTATCTGGAGATGGGTCTATAGATGACGGAGATAAGGGTTGTAGCAGTTTACATTCAGTCTGCTTTATGTGTGCGTCCAATGGATGCATTCTGGGAGTGTAGAATCCCCCCACAGCGTTAAGCTAACACACGACGGTTCATCTACAGAAAAGCTAACACGAGCACGACAATAATGAGCAGATGATATGGAGCAAGTGTTGTAATAATCAGTTATCTTGTTTTAAATGCATCAGAACTGTTTAACTATACACTGTAGCTGTATTTGACGAGAGAACAACCTCCGAAATGAACAAATGCAGATAATCTGGGTCTTGTTAGATAGCCAAAACAGTTTTAGTGTCATTTACATGTTGGCTTTTTGTCTTCTTGAGCTGCAGGTATTAAACCCAGGGGATTTTTGTCTGTTTTATTCTCGCCTAAAATATTGTCCATCCGTCCTTCCATCCATTTTCTTCCGCTTCATCCGTTGCCGGGTCGCGAGGGCAGCAGTCTAAGCAGAGACGCCCAGACTTCCCTATCCACACACACCTCCTCCAGCTCGTCCGGGGGGACCCCAAGGCGTTCCCAGGCCAGCTGAGAGACATAGTCCCTCCAGCGTGTCCTAGGTCTTCCGCGGGGCCTCCTCCCGGTGGGACGTGCCCGGAACACCTCCCCAGGGAGGCGTCCAGGAGGCATCCGGAACAGATGCCCGAGCCACCTCAACTGGTTCCTCTCGACGTGGAGAAGCAGCGGCTCTACTCCGAGCTCCTCCCGTGTGACTGAGCTCCTCACCCTATCTCTAAGGGAGCAGCCACTCTGCGGAGGAAGCTCATTTCGACCGCTTGTATCCGCGATCTTGTTCTTTCGGTCATTACCCAAAGCTCATGACCATAGGTGAGGGAGGGGACGAAGATTGACCGGTAAATTGAGAGCTTTGCCTTTCGGCTCAGCTCCCTCTTCACCACAACGGTCCGATACAGCTCTGACTGCAGACGCTGCTCCCTCTTTACCACAACGGTCCGATACAGAGACCGCATCACTGCGCACGCTGCACCGATCCGCCTGTCAATCTCACGCTCCATCCTTCCCTCACTCGTGAACAAGACCCCGAGATACTTGAACTCCTCCACTTGAGGAAGGGCCTCTCCACCCACCCGGAGAGGGCAAGGCACCTTTTTCCGGTCGAGCACCATGGCCTCGGATTTGGAGGTGCTGATTCTCATCCCAGCCGCTTCACACTCGGCTGCAAACCGTCCCAGTGCATGTTGTAGTTCCTGGTTCGTTGGAGCCAACAGGACAACATCGTCTGCAAACAGCAGAGATGAAATCCTGTGGTCCCCGAACCGGACCCCCTCCGACCCTTGGCTGCGCCTAGAAATTCTGTCCATGAATACAGTGAACAGAACCGGTGACAAAGGGCAGCCCTGTCGGAGGCCAACATGCACCGGGAACAGGTCTGACTTACTGCCGGCAATGCGAACACAGCTCTGTCTCCGGTCATACAGGGACCGGACGGCCCTCAGCAGAGGACCCCGGACCCCGTACTCCCGGAGGACCCCCCAAAGGACACCCCGGGGCACACGGTCGAACGCCTTCTCCAAATCCACAAAGCACATGTGGACAGGTTGGGCGAACTCCCATGAACCCTCGAGTATCCGATGGAGAGTATAGAGCTGGTCCAGTGTTCCACGGCCGGGACGAAAACCACACTGCTCCTCCTGAATCCGAGATTCGACCATCGGCCGTAGCCTCCTCTCCAGTACCTTGGAGTAAACCTTACCAGGGAGGCTGAGGAGTGGGATCCCACGATAATTGGAACACACCCTCCGGTCCCCCTTCTTGTAGAGAGGGACCACCACCCCGGTCTGCCACTCCATTGGCACTGCCCCCGATCGCCACGCGATGTTGCAGAGACGTGTCAGCCAAGACAGTCCTACAACATCCAGAGACTTTAGATAGTCAGGACGGATCTCATCCACTCCCGGCGCCTTGCCACCATGGAGGCTGCCAACCACCTTGGTGACCTCTGCCAGGGAGATGGATGTATCCGCCCCAACATCCTCAGTCTCTGCCTCCTGGACGGAGGACGTGACGGGGGGATTGAGGAGAACCTCAAAGTATTCCTTCCACCGTCCGACAATATCCCCGGTCGAGGTCAGCAGCTCACCCCCCGCACCGTACACGGTGTTGGCAAAGAACTGCTTCCCCCTCCTGAGGCGCCGGACAGTTTGCCAGAATCTCTTCGAGGCCGACCGATAGTCATGCTCCATGGACTCTCCGAATTCCTCCCAGTCCCGGGTTTTTGCCTCTGCAACAGCCCGGGCCACGGCACGCTTGGCCTGCCGGTACTGGACAGCTGCCTCAGGAGTCCCCCGAACCATCATGGCTCGATAGGACTCCTTCTTCAGCCTGACGGCATCCCTTACTGCCGGTGTCCACCACCGGGTTCGGGGGTTGCCGCCGGGACCAGCACCAGAGATCTTGCGACCACAGCTACGAGCCGCCGCATCGGTGATAGAGGAAGAGAACATGGTCCACTCAGACTCAATATCCCCCTCCTCCGCCGGGACCTGGGAGAAGCTCTCCCGGAGGTGTGAGTTGAAAGTCCGTCTGACAGGGGGCTCAGCGAGACGTTCCCAGCAGACCCTCACTACACGCTTGGGTCTGCCAGGTCTGACCGGCTTCCTCCCCTGCCAGCGGATCCAACTCACGACCAGGTGATGATCGGTTGACAGCTCCGCCCCTCTCTTTACCCGAGTGTCCGAAACACGCGGCCGAAGGTCAGATGATACGACAACAAAGTCGATCATCGACCTCCGGCCTAGGGTGTCCTGGTGCCACGTGCACTGGTGGACACCCTTGTGCTCAAACATGGTGTTCGTGATGGACAAACTGTGACGGGCACAGAAGTCCAACAACTGAACACCGCTCGGGTTCAGATCAGGGGGGCCATTCTTTCCGATCACCCCTCTCCAAGTGTCACTGGCGCTTCCCACATGGGCGTTAAAGTCCCCCAGGAGAATAACGGAGTCCCCGGGCGGTGCACCGTCCAGTACCCCTCCCAAGGACTCCAAGAAGGCCGTGTACTCTGCACTGCTGTTAGGCCCGTAGGCCGTCACAACAGTGAGAGACTTGTCCCCCACCCGAAGGCGGAGGGACGCGACCCTCTCATTCACCGGGGAGAACTCCAACACGTGGCGGCTGAGATGGGGGGCAATGAGTATGGCCACCCCAGCTCGCCGCCTCTCCCCGCGAGAAACACCAGAAAAGTGGAGCGTCCAACCCCTCTCAAGGAGTTGGGTTCCAGAGCCCAAGCTGTGTGTGGAGGTGAGGCCGACTATCTCTAGTCGGTACCTCTCGACCTCCCCCACAAGCTCGGGCTCCTTCCCCCCCAGTGAGGTGACGTTCCACGTCCCAAGAGCCAGATGTTGGGTGTGCGGACTGGGTCGCCGAGGTCTCCGCCTTCGACTGCTGCCCAGTCCTCTCTGCACCGAGCCGCCACAAACCCCTCTGCAGGTGGTGGGTCCACAGGAGGGACTGCCCACGTCGTCCTTTCGGGCTGAGCCCGGCCGGGCCCCGTGGGCTAAGGCCCGGCCACCAGGCGCTCGCATTCGAGCCCCAACCCCAGGCCTGGCTCCAGGGTGGGGCCCCGGCTGCGCCATGCCGGGCGACGTCACGGTTCTTCTTTTCGTGCTGTCCATGTTGGCTTCTGACTGCTCTTCGTCTGACTCGTCACCTGAGACCTGTCTGCCATGGGAGACCCTACCAGGGGCATGAAGCCCCAGACAGCATAGCTCCCAGGATCATCCGAGTACTCAAACTCCCCCACCACGTTAAGGTGGCAGTCCAGGGGGGAGCTAAAATATTGTGTATTGATGAAATGAAAACACATAATTAGGACAGTACATTTATGCTGAAGATAAAGGTCGTAGCAACTCCTTGACTACAAGTGTTCCAGGATCGTGATATGATTGCAGTGAACAGGAGGATATTCCACTGAACAGAGCGCTGTGGCGTCATCTCCGGGTTAAGAACATTTCTCTTCTGTTCGATTTGTAGTTTTCAACTCTGACGGAACATATGATGAATATGTGGGAACAGTTAAAGGTATCGCCCACGACCAGCTTTAAGGAAAGACTATCTCCACTTTTACATACCTGCTCCTGAGAGAACTCATCTACCCTGGAACTATATACATGTATATATACATTTACTATTTAACTTTATATAACATTAACTTTTAACTAACAGTGATTTGAAATACATTTCTCCAAATAAAACCTTACCAGAATGATTGACAGTTAGCAGACCATTAGTTTTGATGATCCACACAAAACTAGGTGGATTGTCAGGGGCTGTAGCTTTAATCATGGGGACAGCCCAAACAGAAATGATGGGATTAAAATGTATTAATAATCTCATTGTTTTTTCCATAAAATTCTCCTGAAAGTGGCTCCTTTTATCCTACATGTTGTGCATGTCACATACAGTTTATATAAAGTCAGAGCTGCTGTGACCAGGTGTGATCCGGTGGCAAAGCCCGTTCTTCAAATTATCCATCCATCCATTTTCTTCCCCTTAATCCATTTCTGGGTCGGGGGGGTGGCAGTCAGAGCTGCACCCAGTCACAGAGCACCAGCCCCTCACTGATCCTCCTGCAGGTGCTGAGTCCACAGGAGCTGAGATCTATCAGTGGGAGCTTCAGGCAAAGTGAGGTTAAGTGTCTTGCCCAAGGACACAACGACAGCAGTCATCAGTGGGAGTCCTGAAGTAGATCTTGTGGTGGGCTCGACCCCATGACCTTCAGGCTCTAAGGCCAATGCTCTACCAACTGAGCCACTGTCTTAAAATTATGGTACAGTTTAATATGGATGCAGGAGGAAGTGGTAGAGTCTGGGCATATCCAGGTCAACCATACATGATGCAACAGAAGCTCAGAACTCGATACAGTTTAATCAAATATCATATCATTGAAGAAAAGACATGGTCATCATAGGCGATAGTTACACTAATTACACATTTATTACATACAAAAGAAAACATTACATTAGGTTCGGATCCTCTTCTTCAGCTGGATCTTTGTGGTGAAGAATGAAGCCAGAGAAGTGCATTTGTGAGATGGAGATGAGTCTCAGGGTTAGTATTGTTAGTGATGAGAGAGAAGAGCTTTGTGATTTCCTGAGTTAGAGCTAATGTAGCCTGAGTAATCAGGCTTATGCAGTCTTCGTAGTAGAGGTTTGACTTTTGTACATGTTTTTATGAATAATTAGGTCTTTAGCTTCCAACTGAACTGTGCAGTGGTGGGAGTGTACCAGGTCCAGAGGGATTACAGGAGACGGGTCTGCTTTGTAGTGGAGCAAGATGGTTCAGGTCGTCATGGAGATGGTGTTGTAACGAGATACCAATCGGTCTGGGTCTATGGAAGAGTTTGGAAAAGGAAGGTGAAGGTTTGGTGCGTAATGGTTTGAACGTGGACAGAGGCAGGTGGATGTTGAAAGTACAGCGTGTGGTCAGAGAAGGGAGTAAAGAAACTCTGGCAGTCCATGGTGTTCCGTCAGTCTGGCAGTCCATGGTGTTCCGTCAGTGTCTGGCAGTCCATGGTGTTCCGTCAGTCCGGCAGTCCATGGTGTTCCGTCAGTCCGGCAGTCCATGGTGTTCCGTCAGTATCTGGCAGTCCATGGTGTTCCGTCAGTATCTGGCAGTCCATGGTGTTCCGTCAGTCCGGCAGTCCATGGTGTTCCGTCAGTCTGGCAGTCCATGGTGTTCCGTCAGTCTGGCAGTCCATGGTGTTCCGTCAGTGTCTGGCAGTCCATGGTGTTCCGTCAGTATCTGGCAGTCCATGGTGTTCCGTCAGTCCGGCAGTCCATGGTGTTCCGTCAGTCTGGCAGTCCATGGTGTTCCGTCAGTATCTGGCAGTCCATGGTGTTCCGTCAGTCTGGCAGTCCATGGTGTTCCGTCAGTCTGGCAGTCCATGGTGTTCCGTCAGTGTCTGGCAGTCCATGGTGTTCCGTCAGTGTCTGGCAGTCCATGGTGTTCCGTCAGTATCTGGCAGTCCATGGTGTTCCGTCAGTCCGGCAGTCCATGGTGTTCCGTCAGTCCGGCAGTCCATGGTGTTCCGTCAGTATCTGGCAGTCCATGGTGTTCCGTCAGTCTCGCAGTCCATGGTGTTCCGTCAGTCTGGCAGTCCATGGTGTTCCGTCAGTCTGGCAGTCCATGGTGTTCCGTCAGTCTGGCAGTCCATGGTGTTCCGTCAGTGTCTGGCAGTCCATGGTGTTCCGTCAGTATCTGGCAGTCCATGGTGTTCCGTCAGTGTCTGGCAGTCCATGGTGTTCCGTCAGTGTCTGGCAGTCCATGGTGTTCCGTCAGTCTGGCAGTCCATGGTGTTCTGCCAGTCTGGCAGTCCATGGTGTTCCGCCAGTCTGGCAGTCCATGGTGTTCCGCCAGTCTGGCAGTCCATGGTGTTCCGTCAGTCTGGCAGTCCATGGTGTTCCGTCAGTGTCTGGCAGTCCATGGTGTTCCGTCAGTCCGGCAGTCCATGGTTGTTCCGTCAGTCCGGCAGTCCATGGTGTTCCGTCAGTCCGGCAGTCCATGGTGTTCCGTCAGTCTGGCAGTCCATGGTGTTCCGTCAGTCTGGCAGTCCATGGTGTTCCGTCAGTGTCTGGCAGTCCATGGTGTTCCGTCAGTATCTGGCAGTCCATGGTGTTCCGTCAGTGTCTGGCAGTCCATGGTGTTCCGTCAGTGTCTGGCAGTCCATGGTGTTCCGTCAGTCTGGCAGTCCATGGTGTTCTGCCAGTCTGGCAGTCCATGGTGTTCCGCCAGTCTGGCAGTCCATGGTGTTCCGCCAGTCTGGCAGTCCATGGTGTTCCGTCAGTCTGGCAGTCCATGGTGTTCCGTCAGTGTCTGGCAGTCCATGGTGTTCCGTCAGTCCGGCAGTCCATGGTGTTCCGTCAGTCCGGCAGTCCATAGTGTTCCGTCAGTCCGGCAGTCCATGGTGTTCCGTCAGTCTGGCAGTCCATGGTGTTCCGTCAGTCTGGCAGTCCATGGTGTTCCGTCAGTCCGGCAGTCCATCGTGTTCCGTCAGTCTGGCAGTCCATGGTGTTCCAGCAGAGCAGAGGTTTAGGTCCAGAACATGTCCTTTTGAATGTGTGCGGAAATTCAACTATACGATATTGTTAATTTCTCCACATATTCAACCTATGCTGCAATATTGATCCAGAGTAGCTGCACATAGACACAGGTTCATAGACTTCTGATTGAAAAATCCAAGTTTCATTTCATCAGAACCATTTTCTTTTAAGGGTTGAGAAGGCAGAATCCTAAAACTAAATATAAATTGTACATGCGTTCAATGCATTACTTAACACAATAAAGTTTAACAAATGTTTTCAGAGCAGGATATTTGAAACAAACAGCAACATGACAAGTGCTGAGGATGTGGAGAGGACTGAGAAAGAAAAATAATTACTTATATAGTGTGTAGTTGAGTTGCTTTCATATTTTGACCCGGCCCTCCACAACAATTTATTTTTATCATGAGGCCCCCCAGAAAAAAATAGTTGTCCACCGCTGGTTTGGAGAAACCTAGTCACGAATATCATCGAGGAGGATCATCATAATCCTCTGTTTTTTACTTGATGTAAAGCGACCGAGTATCTAAGGCGCCTAAATAACCTGTATTATTCTTATTATGATGAGAATTACCTTCTGAGGCGTAAATGCCATTGCAGAACATACACTGTTTGTGCTGGGAATTCTGTGTGTGAAGAACATGTACAAACAAAGCATCGGCCTGTAGCCTCCACGTGAACATGTGAACATGTGAACATGTAAACATGTAAACATGTGAACATGTGAACATGTGAACATGTGAACATGTAAACATGTAAACATGTAAACATGTGAACATGTGAACATGTAAACATGTGAACATGTGAACATGTGAACATGTGAACATGTGAACATGTAAACATGTAAACATGTAAACATGTAAACATGTGAACATGTGAACATGTGAACATGTGAACATGTAAACATGTAAACATGTAAACATGTGAACATGTGAACATGTGAACATGTAAACATGTGAACATGTGAACATGTGAACATGTAAACATGTAAACCTTGTAAACATGTGAACAGCGTCTGAGTTTTATTATTAAAGATGAAACTCTGCAGCCTTTATCGACCCTGTTACGGACTAGGCCCTTATGGGGGTCCTGGGACTGGCCCATTCCTCCGTCCTGCCGCTCCTCTCTTGTCTGCCCAGGGGGACCGATTGGCGCTAAAGCAGTGGGCGTGTTCGCTCTCTCTCTGCGCGCTCCTGAGGGCCATTCTACACCTGCCCTGGTGCTGGAAGCATCTCCTCCCTGGCTCTCCCTCCACATGCACTATTAAGTTTGTCTTTTGTTTTATGCACCTGTAGTGTCTGCTATTATGACTTCTACATATACAACATGTATCTTTAAAATGTGTTGGGAACATTTGGGTCAAATGGTAGAAGCAGCTGACTCTAATGATCCTTTTCTCAGTCATGAGGCAGACATGTGAGCAGCACTAATGTTAGGACAATGCACATGGCTGTCCTTAATGTATGGTTTGCTTTTACTAGAATCTTGTGACTGTGTCTTATGACTTCTTCAACTAAACTATAAGATCCTAGTCCTCTGTGTGTTAGGGGTCAGTCATGCCATCCTCATTCTCGGAGCTGACCCAGGCTGAAAGCACTAAGCCTGAATTGGACTTGATGTATTCTGATTATGTCATTAAACTCTTTCTTTAATACATAACTCAGAGTGCATTCCTTCTCCAACACTATACTGGTTTGTGCGGGAAACCCCATCTTCTGCTGATGAGAAGATACAACACACCCACATTCACATCGCACATACGACGCCCTCACTGCACACAAGCATCACCTGCACCTACACCACTGACTTCTACACAACACACCCCATACTTTACCTTTTTGTATATAATAATATTTGTTATTCCGTTTACTCAATTAAAATACTTTGTGGGCACTTAATTCCGCCTCGTCTCCCCTATTCTTGTTGTGGCTCAGAGCCAAGCCATAACAACACCAAAAGTCAATCTCATCAAAGTGTATTACATAGAAACTAAAGAAGCACAAACAAGTATTTCTAATCTTTTCACATTATTTTCTTTTCACTTTGATATTGAACCACTTCCAAAGGCATCACTACAACATCTGAAGGCACACTAACGTTCCACACTACTCTGGTTGAAAAATACTGGTCTAAAGGATGTAATCTCAGACAGGTCACCTTTGCCGTCCGAGCCTGACGTCCGTCTCCACTGTATGTATCTATAAGTATTTGTTCTTTTTACATTTCTCAGACTCTTTCTGCACATCTCATTGTCACAGCTGCATCTCCGCTGATTACTCCCTCTTTCTAACGACTGTGTTTATGCAGAATTACGCTCTGGCCACCGGGGGTTTGTTCGTGACCTAAAAATCCTCATTCATGATTTTATTTTCCCTTCTTTTATTATTACTTTAGACAATATTAGTTTTCAAAGGTTCATGTTTTCAGGCGTGTGCCACTGGATGAGCACCTGTGGCTACTGCTGCTATTTCTGGACTGGCCATGTTCCAAAGAGACTCATCCTGGAGCTCTGTATCCGTCAGAGTGTTGTGTTCGGTGCTTCTTTTCGCGCTGTGAATAATGCCCATTGTTTTGTGTGCTCGGTGGACTTGACCCTGACCCTCCGACAGACAACACATCACACATCGGAGCCAGAATTCCCCACACGGAGTCAAAGCAAACCACAGAGCGACTGGTGGAAGGTCACCATGGTAATGGAGACGCAAAGTGTTTTATCACAACTGAAAGTGAAGTCAATTAATTATGCACAATATTGTAAATTGAAATGTATTGATGGCTTTTCGACGTGCGCTAAACACCGACTGGGACTAAAGAGTAGAGCTGAACCAGGATAAAGGGAAACTGGAAACACAACATGTTTTTTTCAGGACCATAATAATAATTAGTAGAGACAAGAAATGGCCACAATGTGACGATTCGATAGTATCGCGATATTTGGGACAAAATATAGGGCAACAGTAGCTCAGTTGGTAGAGCATTGACCTTTGAGCCAGAGGGTCATGGGTTCGAGCCCGACTTTCACCATCGACTCCCACTGTCTGCTGTCGTTGTGTCCTTGGGCAAGACACTTAACCTCTGGGCGGCTGCGGCTGTAAAGTGCCACCCCCACATTAGAATGAGTCTGGTGTGTGTGTGAATGGTTGGTGGTGGTGGGAGGGGCCGATGGCACAGACTGGTTGCCTCGCTTCTGTCAGTGTGATTGGTCACAATCTGGTCCCGAAACACATTATCTTCCTTGTTTCATCAAAACTCGATCTAAAATAAAATGTCACACCAGCACAAACCTGCGCTACTTATTCTTCAAAAGGACGTTTATCCCGATGCACTGCAGGGATAGGGGTTGGATTTAACTCATGAATACAAACATAAAGTCAGGTAATGCAGCTTTAAACTACTTTAATTCACAATCATCATCATTAGTAGAAGCATTTAGCAGTAGTTTTTTTATTTGAGCAGTTTTACAAAAGAACACAGTTTTCAGAGTGCCTCCTTCTCCATTTTTTCTTTTGCATACCAGTTTTACAATGTATTTTATATTTTTTTACAGGCACATATAATTCAAGAAAGGAAGCTCAAAAGGAGAAGGCAGAAGCAAAAAGCATTGGTTGTAGCTGAAGTATAAGTTAAATAAATGGGGTCGCAGCAGGTGTATGGAGATGAGAGTGGTTTCGACAGAGATCACACACTCACAGGGCTCCGAGGGGCCGCTCTGGGGGTTTCAGTTTTTGCTCAGACCCATGAAACATTAGAGACAACAGTGCTTTCATCCCCTTCATGAAACTTGTGGACACCAGGATTTCATGCAAGGTTAACATTGACACATCTGCCCCAAACTCTTTTTTCGGCTCCTGAGCTTCTGGACCCAATGCTGTTTACCTTCAGTCCAGTAAGTCATATGTTAGCTTCACGGTCCATTACCCGATTGCAACGCTTCATCATCAAATTCAATTGAGAGTTTATAAAAATGAAGGGATCTTTATCTTTCTTTCTGCCTCGGACGAAATGCCAAGATTTCTGCAAGCCCATATCGCTACAGCCGACAAATCAATTCTCTTAAAGATTTTCCCGAGCTACGCTGTCTTTGATCATGACGTTAGTGACCGTTATAGTATAAACGTTTGGCAAAGACCTTTCAAGTATTCAAGCCTTTTCAGTTTCTGAAATTACATTTGGTACTAAGGTCTGGATTTGCTCCATTGACTCCGTAACAGGTGGGAGGGGCTAACTCCTTTTGCAGATTGAAACCATTGGATCTGAGTTTACTGTGACGTATGTAATGAGCCCGAGTGAGTTGTTAGCATTTAGCCTAGCTTTAGCCATCTCCTTTGCCACTAACAGAGTAGCACCACAAAATTGTTGTCAGCAATTAGATTTGCTAAACATTCCTCTTGCTGAGGCTTCAATTTCTTGATAGAACCAGAACGGATTACTTTAATATCGCATTCTTTGGCATTGCCAATTTACAACCTGCCCATTTGATGCAAACTCTTGACGTCAACCCGCGCTCACCGATTGGTCGGATGGAATTCAACCGATGTAATTGCAGACCCTAGAATCAGACCCAGACGTACATGTAGGGAAAGGATTATTGACCACAGTTTGCAGATGGCTAACTGACCATCATACTTCATGCAGAATCCTGCTGCTGATAATTAGGTTTTGTCTACATTCAGTCGTACATTTCTCAATTTCTGAAAATGAAGCGTCAAAAAACAGAAATGTGAGACTAAAAGGATATAGCACTAAAATTAATAATAACAATAATGGATACTATAAAACAAAAACATAGCATGTGTGTTTAGTAGATAAATAGATTATATAGAAAGCAGTAATAAATACTACTCGAGGTGTCTTGAGCCCACTCTTCAGAACGTGAACGTTCTCTTGGGATGGTTTACTTTCACTAACACCGTGGGAGTAATCTCATAATTATCCTGTGCCTTTGCCTTGGCCTCCATGACAGAACCATAACCCTCTGTTTCCAAACATCCAGACCTGGCACATCCTTGTATTCATGTCTAATTACAGAAGCATTCTGTCAAAGCCTCAGCACTTTGCAAACTGTAAATTACCAAAATGATGTTTTTCAGGCCGTTCTGACTTCTTCCCCTCTTCCTGGTGTTGGTGTTTTGGTAATTGCAGGCTTGGCGCACACACTGCTATATTCACATCGGACCACACGCAGGGAGGGAGCGCATGTAATATTTATCTTGGCACTCGGAAAAGGTTATTGCCGTTTTAAAATTTAATGTGGTAGAGGAACCCTCGGCACGTAGTTGGCGTACAACCGGGGGGCAGGAGTGGAAGGAGCACAGGTGCGTTTATACAGTGTGTACAGTCTGACACCTGGTATGATCGTGCTCGTGACGGCTGTTGGCAATCACAGGCTAAAGGCCAACACATGCAGCAATTTAATAAACTATAGCATCGATAGATGCTTTTTTGATTCCTATGGAAGAAATTCAGGGTCCGGAGAAAGAAACACATCCATTCTTACAAACACTGTGTACATACATAATTCTAACAGCACTTTTGAATTCCAGGAAGTGGAACTTAGCACAAGTTCCACTTCCTGTTTCCTGTTCCCTGCCCCGCCCTCGTGTGTATCTCCTGTGTCTCGTTAGTCTCGTGTTTAAACTCTGCTTATTCCTTCACTCAGATCAGATCAGAGTCATTTATTTGCCATTTGCAGTAAAACCACATTGGAAAAACTGTGCAAGACTACCCCAGTGTGCACCAGACGACACACACCAGAGCTCTTGCCACGGCGCCATCTTTACGCCATCTCTCCCTGTTCTGTTATTGTAATTCTACTGTTTCAGTCTTCCCTGTTTGGTTAACTTTTGTGTTTCTCTAGATTTTGTTTCGTAATACATTTAATTAAATCCAATTAAGTCCTTTTTGCCAAATGACACATACAGTAAAAAATGGACAGTGAAATGTAAGGTCATAGTGAGCAGGTCAGTCTGAAATAGGTTTTTTAAGTGCAGTTTGGAAGTGTGTTACGGAGGTCAGGGGGAAGAGTGTTCCAGAGCCGGGGACCAGAGCGGCTGAAAGCTCTGCCCCTCATGGTGTCGAGGGAGCAGGAGGCACCAGCAGCAGGAGGCACCAGCAGGAGGCACCAGCAGCAGGAGGCACCAGCAGCAGGAGGCACCAGCAGCAGGAGGCACCAGCAGCAGGAGGCACCAGCAGCAGGAGGAGCAGGGCAGATATGGAGGGGTGCGGTTGTGAATGGCTTTGACAGTGAAGAGGGGTTTGTGCTGAACGCGGTGGGTGATGGGGAGCCTTGGTATGAACTGTGCAATACAAATAAACTTGTAAATCATAAATAAGATTGTAAAGCACAAAACTGTTTCAGAGCTACTTAGGACTTTCTGCCGATTCCAACACAAGTCAAAAGACTTCCTGGTTAGAGTTAACGTTCCTGATTAGAGTTAACGTTCCTGATTAGAGTTAACGTTCCTGATTAGAGTTAACGTTCTCATTATTGAAGCATCACTGATCTGTCTTTTCCATCCTACTCCACAGTCTGTGAAACGCAGACAGTCAACGTTTTCTTTGTGGAGAACGGTTGTGTTCGCTCAGGGTCGACCTCTGCCACGGAGTGACGAGCAGGAGAGGCCGACGGGCTGCCGGAGCAATGCATTGTGGGAAGGTCACTCCTCCGGAGGGTAGTGGAAAGCGGAGGTAAAGGTTATTGTCACTCTGAAGCTTTCACAAATCTGACAAGGCAGCGTCATAAAACTGAAAGGTTTTATAAAAAGACTGTTTCAGAAAGTCGTCTCTGGACATCGCTGTGAGACAGGGTCAGGGTTATAAACCAGCAGATGGTGCTCGCCCCATTGATCGTGTGGTTCTTAAGCATAAAAAACAAGCACATATAAAATCTCAATAGTTTAGATCGGCTCAGATAATCCACTCTCAGCCCAAAAAGTCACATAATGACTCACAGGGATTGTAAGTCAAAATAAGACTGTGGTTTGTTCTGTTTGATTTGTTCACAGAATTTTACTTTTTGGCAAAACCAACATGCACTATTAATGCGAGGGAAAATGTAGATACCCCAGCTTTAATGTAATGAGTTTTAGTTGCGCTTTGGGGGGACACACGGAGACTCCTGAGGCTCCATAGTCCAGCTCTGGTTCTTGCAGCGGTGTATTTATTCACAGGTCACACAAAGATACGCACTTGTTGCAAAAAAAGTGGACGACCTCTTTCTGCCCAGGAAGCTGTCCGGTCCCATCCCTGTGCCATCTCTGGGGGCCACGCTCTCATGGGGAACCCATTCTGAATTCCCTGTAGTGCACAATATAAGGGCAGCTCTCTTCTCGCTCCAGGCCTGCAGCTATGGCCGCCAGAGTGGGTCCACTGTGGACTTTTATGAGCATGTGGTGAGTAGTGTCTGTGTTTAAGCCTGTCATTTTGTTCTGTCCGGTTCTGTCATTTTTTTCTGTTTGTTATACATTTGAAGAATTTTTTGAAGATTTTCTATGGAAGGAAAGTAATTGTCTTTTTCCATCCATCCATTTTCTACCCTTTAATCCATTTCTGGGTCAGGGGGGTGGCAGTCAGAGATGCCACCCAAGTCTCATAGCACCAGCCCCTCACTGACCCTCTGCAGGTGGTGAGTCCACAGGAGGACGGCTGCTCTCTGAGTGTGAGCATAGCCTTGATCTTTCAGTGGGGTCTTTGGGCAAAGTGGGGTTAAGTGTCTTGCCCAAGGACACAACGACAGCAGTCATCAGTGGGAGTCGGTGGAGAAGGTGCAGAGGTGGGAATTGAACCCACGACCTTCTGGGCTTAAGGCCAATGCTCTACCAACTGAGCTACTGTCGCCCTAATTGTCTTTTTATGTTTATCAAACCTGATAATGTCTCCTTTTATATTGAGGAGACAACCACAAATAAGGAGGTGGTGGAGGGAGGGAAAGCAGCATCTTTATCAAGTCTGCATGACATCGGCACGGAGCCGGTCCTCTGCCTGGAGCCGGTCCTCTGCCTGGAGCCGGTCCTCTGCCTGGAGCCGGTCCTCTGCACGGAGCCGGTCCTCTGCCTGGAGCCGGTCCTCTGCACGGAGCCGGTCCTCTGCACGGAGCCGGTCCTCTGCCTGGAGCCGGTCCTCTGCACGGAGCCGGTCCTCTGCCTGGTGGTCCTCTGCACGGAGCCGGTCCTCTGCACGGAGCCGGTCCTCTGCCTGGTGGTCCTCTGCACGGAGCCGGTCCTCTACACGGAGCCGGTCCTCTACACGGAGCCGGTCGTCTGCCTGGAGCCGGTCCTCTGCACGGAGTCTGCAAGCATCTTGGAGCATGGCTTCAAGGCCCACATGGAGGCACAAACAGAGACCCTCTTTCTCTTGCGTCCCAATGACGATCTCACATGCGTTGCCATCAAAATGCTGGGGACGTTTACCTCGGGCACCGTCTGACCCAGACCCGTGTGAGGTGTGTGCTGGTCGCTGCACGTGGTGGACAGGATGTGCTGGTTGCTGCACACGGTGGTCACCGCCTTCTCAGGCGTGCCCAGGGGTGTAACTGTCTTCATAGGGGTGGGTGGACGTACAGTATCTGTATATCTAAACATTTTTTTAAACCCAAATTCCAAGAGACAAACCAACGCGAACCCTTGATTATTTTCTCGACTTCTGTCTTCAGTTCCACAAATCCAAATGTGTTTACAGTTTTGTGGATGCGTTGTATGTACGTCACAGCGAGCGCAGCAGGAAAACGTGACGTCCAATATCACGTCACATTATTCTCACTCATGTGACAGATGTAAAGTTCCCAGTGTAAGAAATGGGTGAGAAATAGTAATTGTCTATAGCAGTCACAGAAACAGACTTTGAGTATATTGTGCGTCATGCAACTATACTCATAGTTTCTCACACCAGAAAAACTGTTTCTAGATATGTCTGAGATGTATTAAACTAAGATTTAATCACTTTCCCTTATGCATATATAATTACGACCACAATTCCATATAGCTGCTGTTCTCTTGTTTAGTTTCACTCATGACAATTCAATCATATCACAGTCAATTCTATTCAAAAGCACTTGAATATAAAGTGGAAAGGATCATTTTTACCAGAGCACATGAAGGCAGCTTTACTCTTCCATTTTCTTAAATCAAATTCTTTGTGGACAGCTTTACCGTCTACATAGAATTTATTTATCACTTGATTTCTTCCCATGTCAGAGAAAAATCCTAGGCCAGACCCTCGCACCATAAACTTTAAAATACTGTAGCTATTGTTAATGTTGGGATAGAGATGGTTGTTCTGAGGTGGAGTTTGTGTCGGGGCAGTGACATGTCAGTACGACTTTAGGCCCTGGATTGATAAACATACCCCTTCATCTGCCTGTGTTCACACTGTCATATGGCACGGCAAGGTTATTAGTATAGCACAGTTCATACACACAGCAACTGGAAGTGATTCACAACAAACAAGATAGAAACAAGGCATTAAAATGCTCAATGCATAAATCACCACAGTACATTCAAAAGGGTGAAGATGAAATCCCTCAGTTGTTTAAGATCAGATAAGATCGACTGTATTGATCTCAAACAGGAGACGTTTACACAGATCAGAACAGTTTTAAACCTTTGTCAGAGCAGAAGCCTGTCTCACATGTTCAGGAAGACTGTTCAAGATTTTAGCTGCATAATAGATACTTTATTGATCCCCATTCAGGTGTCCAGTATATCAGCAAAAATAAAAATAAACATATTAGTGTCTCACACCGCAAAAAATGATGGAATTAAAGACAACAAAATGTTCAAATTTGGCTAAAGGTATCTTAATTTGAGCACATTTGGACAACTTTAAAACAAGATTTGGAATGAGATAATAAAGCAATAGTTCTTGAATCAAGTCAAAATTGCTTGTCTCATTGGCAAATCTAGTTTTTAAGTCAGAATGAACTTAAATTAAGATACAACCCATTGATCCAAGCAATTATCTTATATTTGATTTTGCAGTGTATTTGTATGATACACTACACTACATTTCAAACTGCTCATATCACACAATCACTGCAGCATTTGTATTCTGCCGCCGAAACAAATGAAAGGTCCAATCTCTCGTGTATTATCAGCCTGACTGATCCCGGGGAGGATCCAGACCCCTCTCCGGACCCCCCTCTCTCCACTCACCCGTGCACACGCTAAAAGAATCTGACGAGCGAATGAAAACGCGGCTAAACATTCATCAGAAAACTGCCACACTCCGTGCACACGTGTGGATGGCGAGATGGGGTCGGGCGTCGAGAATGTAAAAATAATGGCGTGGGACTGTGCGCGGCGGAGATGGATAGGACTGATTAATGCGGCGTGTGATGCAGGCTGAGCGAGCGCTAAGCTGCTGCATGTGGGATCCAAGCCGCGGATGAAAAGGCAAGTGGCAAATGGGCAAAGTGTGGGTTCGAGTGCAGGCCGCTTTTAGTGAGTCACTGCTTTTAATATAGATCTACTGTGCTTTAAAAGACACAGATTAAGCACAACTTTGGAGAGTGGAGTTAGTGTCAAAGCTACTTTACCATTAACCTTTTTTAAGTATCACAAATAATCAGTGTTGTTTGTCTAACAAAGGTTATAACAAACAGTTTAGACCAGAATATACTGTTTTACATACTTCTGTATCACAACAATGGTTATCTCAGAGGACTTTACAAAGCTGTTGATTCACCAACACAGATCAGAGAATCAAACAGTTCAAACACAGGGAATGCAATGACAAAAGTCACAGTGCCAGTGGGGTTGTATGTATGGGGGTTAAACCAGTGGGGTTGTATGTATGGGGGTTAAACCAGTGGGGTTGTATGTATGGGGGTTAAACCAGTGGGGTTGTATGTATGGGGGTTAAACCAGTGGGGTTGTATGTATGGGGGTTAAACCAGTGGGGTTGTATGTATGGGGGTTAAACCAGTGGGGTTGTATGTATGGGGGTTAAACCAGTGGGGTTGTATGTATGGGGGTTAAACCAGTGGGGGCGAGTCCCAGCTCAAAAAAGGTCCATGAGCACATGGACATGTTTGCAATCTCACCCCTATAGAAACTTCAGGTCAGAGTCATATAGAAACTTCAGGTCAGAGTCATAAAGAAACTTCAGGACAGAGTCATATAGAAACTTCAGGTCAGAGTCATATAGAAACTTCAGGTCAGAGTCATATAGAAACTTCAGGTCAGAGTCATAAAGAAACTTCAGGTCAGAGTCATAAAGAAACTTCAGGACAGAGTCATATAGAAACTTCAGGTCAGAGTCATATAGAAACTTCAGGTCAGAGTCATAAAGAAACTTCAGGACAGAGTCATAAAGAAACTTCAGGTCAGAGTCATATAGAAACTTCAGGACAGAGTCATATAGAAACTTCAGATCAGAGTCATAAAGAAACTTCAGGTCAGAGTCATATAGAAACTTCAGATCAGAGTCATATAGAAACTTCAGGTCAGAGTCATATAGAAACTTCAGGTCAGAGTCATATAGAAACTTCAGGACAGAGTCATATAGAAACTTCAGATCAGAGTCATATAGAAACTTCAGGTCAGAGTCATATAGAAACTTCAGATCAGAGTCATATAGAAACTTCAGGTCAGAGTCATATAGAAACTTCAGGTCAGAGTCATATAGAAACTTCAGGTCAGAGTCATATAGAAACTTCAGGTCAGAGTCATATAGAAACTTCAGGTCAGAGTCATATAGAAACTTCAGGTCAGAGTCATATAGAAACTTCAGGTCAGAGTCATAAAGAAACTTCAGGTCAGAGTCATATAGAAACTTCAGGTCAGAGTCATATAGAAACTTCAGGTCAGAGTCATATAGAAACTTCAGGTCAGAGTCATATAGAAACTTCAGGTCAGAGTCATAAAGAAACTTCAGGTCAGAGTCATATAGAAACTTCAGGTCAGAGTCATATAGAAACTTCAGGTCAGAGTCATATAGAAACTTCAGGTCAGAGTCATATAGAAACTTCAGGTCAGAGTCATATAGAAACTTCAGGTCAGAGTCATATAGAAACTTCAGGTCAGAGTCATATAGAAACTTCAGGTCAGAGTCATATAGAAACTTCAGGTCAGAGTCATATAGAAACTTCAGATCAGAGTCATATAGAAACTTCAGGACAGAGTCATATAGAAACTTCAGGTCAGAGTCATATAGAAACTTCAGATCAGAGTCATATAGAAACTTCAGGTCAGAGTCATATAGAAACTTCAGGTCAGAGTCATATAGAAACTTCAGGTCAGAGTCATATAGAAACTTCAGGACAGAGTCATATAGAAACTTCAGGACAGAGTCATATAGACACTTCAGGTCAGAGTCATATAGAAACTTCAGGTCAGAGTCATATAGAAACTTCAGGACAGAGTCATATAGAAACTTCAGGACAGAGTCATATAGGGGCCGACCGTCAGGGGCCGACCGTCAGGGGCCGACCGTCAGGGGCCGACCGTCAGGGGCCGACCGTCAGGGGCCGACCGTCAGGGGCCGACCGTCAGGGGCCGACTGTCAGGAGCTGTGGTGACGTCAGCGGTGAAAACATGTGTCCTGTGGTGCATGTTTTTGGTTGTGGGAGGGAAATTGTGAATAGAAATACATTTGTAAATATTGAAATCGTAAATATACCAACACATGGTGAAACTACGGCAAATACTGTTGTGTGATTGTATATTTGTATGTGTATGTAGATACTGTAAACGCAGTAGGTAACATTAGCAGGTAACAGAAGAATGTACAACAGTTCTTCATAAACTAAGGAGTGTAAATCTTAATACTTATGAATTTATCATTTCTGCTTGAAGAAATTAGAATATCAATCAGTCAATCAAACCGGAGCGCCTGAGGAAACCCACCCAGACACAGGAGAGAGATGCCAACCCCACACACAAACGAGATTTGAACCCTCGACCTTCTTGCTGATGTGTGCAGTTTGGTTCAGAGCTGCAGGAGTCAAACACTTTAGTTCAATGCTTCAGATAGAATCATCTTTTACAATAACTACAGTAGTATGTCAGGACAAGCACGTTCCCATAAGAGCGTGTCAGACTCAGGCACAGGGCCCAGTCAGAGGTGCTAAGTGGAGCCATGTGTGAGAAACATGTTTCCCACAATGCATTGCTACAAGAACGGTCATCAAACATAATGAATGAGGTCAACCGCTGCTATCGTTCACACACACAGATATTCTTTCTATGTGATAAACCAGGTATTGTCAGACCTCTGAGGCTAAGCAGGGTACGACCTGGTTAATACTGTGATGGGAGACCTTTTGGCACTTTACGGCTGCGGCTGTAAAGTGCCAAACTGTCACCGTGCCCATGGTAAGACACGTCCTCCACATTGGAATGAGTCACTTGGGCAAAGGGGAAACACTGTCGTTATATTTTGTTTTGTGATCTGCAAACTTGGATTAAAGGCCGGTCCATGAAAACATTGTCCGTCATTGATGCGGTTCTTGGCGCTAATAATATTGGTGGGCTCTGGGATAAAAGGACATTCACAAGTTCATCCAGTCCTGATTCTCGGACCGGAATCGACCGTCCACATCGGCCTGCTCCAATCAGCAATCCTTCTGGGGGGGTCTCAAACTCAATTTACAGTAGGTCCCATTCCGTTTTGTCGCCTTTCACGCGTGAATCACACGAGACTCACGTGTGATTCACGCGTCTTTTATTTTCCCCCCTCCCAGTGACGTTGCAATGACCAAAACAACCACCAGGTGGCACTTGTGAGCAGGGTTACATTGGCGAGTTTCTGCCCCGCGCACATCGACAATCTGGTTAAAACGGGCAACTCCTTGTAGTCTCTGGAATAACCCGCAGACATTAAAACTACTGCACACTGAGAAAAGTGTTGCAAGCGCAACTTTGAACCTAAGTACTTGTATTTGCAATTTCGGACTTAAAATTTATTCTTATGGTTTTAATATTAGAAAAATAATTTCCATTTACTAAAACAAAAACAATATACCCACAAATACGTTTTGTATGTGTATTTAACTAAATTTTGAAAAAATATTGTTGGCAGTGCAGTGCTTCTTAAATCTGACGCTATCAATAAGTGTTCAGACAAAGTAATTTCTACTGGGCGGGAGTTTGCTTCCGGTTCGGACCGTTTCCGCGAGCTTGTTGTTGGTGATGGGCGCTGAGCCAGCCTTGGACACGGTCGTGTGGTTTCCCGTGAGATCCAACTCAAAGTAAGATTTTTTAAATATATGGTGCTTTCTCTGTAAGGTTTGTCGCGTATTTGATCAAATATATACAATCTGTGGTCAAATCGTCGTTTTATTTTCTTGGCAGTTCGTGTCCAAAATTACTTCATGTTAACTGTCTACTCTAGCCCCAAACATGTTGTTAGCATAAAACTGTGCCAGTATAATGGTCCTACAATTTCGTTGTTTAGCAAAGTGATTTGTGTTAAGACTCGTAACATTACCAACTACCCCTTAAATGTTCTGAACCATAATAACAGGCGTAGTTTTCGCAGTTTGGAGCTGCTAACTTCTAGCTAGCTGTTGCTAACGGTACGCAGCTAACATAAGTAGACCAAAGTCGCTACTGTCCTGCTCTGTCTTGTTGCCGGAGGTTCATTCTCATCCCTTTATTGTCCATTTCTGGGTCAGGGGGGTGGCAGTCAGTCAGTTGCCACCCAATTCACATAGCACCAGTCCCTCGCTGATCCTCCTGCAGGTGGTGGGTCCACGGGAAGATGGCTGTTCTTTAGCTGTTCTGAGCTAATGTAACTGTCCCTAGTTACATTAGCTCAGCGGAGCGACTCTCAAGGAGGAGACAGGTGCAGAGCATGGTGCGGAGGCAGAAAACATGTTTATTGCTATCTGAGATCGCTCTGATTTCCTCGCGGTCAGAAAGTAGCTTGTTTCAGCAGAAAACTAACGTTAAGTTAACAGCTACTGCATGTTGTTAATGTTATGACCCGTCCGCATCAGCATCACTGTATTATATCAAGGCCTGTCTGTTTTAGCCAATGTGCAGCTATATGGTTAGTTATGATAAGTTCAAATACATTCAGAAATCTGCAGCACATTTAAAAAACCCAAACAAAGTATAAGTGATACATTATAAACATGCATTTTTAAAAGAACATACTGAGGGTGACTGCTATAGCCTATTGCAGTCACAAAATTAGAGTGGAAATGCTAAAAATCTAATGTGACTTACATTCGCATTTCATATGAACAACATTTTGGCATGTTAATTTTGAAATAAACGATATTTTGCTGGACAAGTAGGTTTTGTTTCCGGCAAGTAAAAAATACCTGCCACTTCAAGTACCTCAAAGCACTTAATGTCAAGTCCTGACAAGGTAATACATTCAGCTAAAGACAGGTACATGTTGTGGTATAGCATGTTTTTTGTGGAATCACGTGTAGTAACGCAAAATGCACAAAGCACTTTGTTTGTACTAATCTAATGCATTTTTTATATGTAAAAAGCAGCACCGCCTGTTTAAATGCTTATGATATTTGTCCAATGAAGAGTATTTTTAAGCATGTTTATTAATTTTATTTTATTTTATTTTAGATTTTTCCTTTCACTGCTGCCAATTGATGGAGGAAAGCTACAGCAGGAGGTAAGTGTGATACAAAAAGAACTGTTAATAAATTAAGTGAATGTAATGTACTCGCTAGGGATGCAATAGTTTTTTGGGGGGGGGGCATTATACATTGGTTGGATCCTGCTCCAGACTTGTTTCTGCTTTTTGTAATGTAAAACATTTTATCTTAACTGCTTTAAAGTGACTCAATGGTGTAAACGTTTTTGGGTCTGGAGTTTTTTTTACTGTAATGCTCATTGTTAAATAATATTTTGAATATGAATAAGGGCTGTCAAGCGATCTTAGATATTTTTATTCGCTTGATACACTTCAAACAAATTATCTTCGGTCTTCTTGCATCCCTTGTATTTACAATACATTACAATACTTGCATGTGATACTGTTTGGTATGGGCCACACTGATTTTGTTTCTGTAATTTAGAGCATAAATGAGTGTGCCCTGCAAGATTTGCGGTGAGTCCTTGGCAACAAGAGAGGAGATTGTCCATCATTTGTCATTATATACGTTTTTATATCTAAATTAACACAATCAGAAATATGAAAACATATTCAAGATAAGAAGTGCTGAATACTTCCTAATTTGTGGTGTTTTTTATTTCTATGTTGTTTCGTAGGATCCAACCGCTGCTATAGAAAAGAGGAGGGAAGTCGTAATCCGAGGCCTAATTGAATACATGGGGGAGAAGCCAGGAGACTTGATTTCAGATCTACAGGTAAAATTTCCAATTTTTTCTTTTCAGGGTATAAAAAAAGTACCGTACCTTATGCTGATATGTCTATCATTAAGAGTAGTAGTATCACCAAATCCTCTTCATCCTCTGCATATGCTAAAAGTCAGCATATGCAGATTATTTAAAAAACATTTTGGTCTCATTTGACCATAGAATAATCTACAATCATGTAGAAAAGGTTAAATCATCTACTGGACTGGGTTTTGGTAAAGTTGAGGATGTTTCGCTTTTAGTGACACAAGCTTCTTCAGAGCTCTTAAAGTCATAAAAGAACACTTACCCAAACTGGACTAAAAACTAAAAAGACCCAGGTTCCTTCCAGAAGGAGAGAACCAAAACTGCCAAAAATGTCTATTCAAATTGTTTTCAATATCACTCAACTTTACCAAAACCCAGTCCTGGCGATGATTTAACCTTTTTATAAGATGGACACTCCCTGGATGAATGAGAGTCTTCACAAACATCTGACCATATGACATTCCCCCAGCCCTCTGGATGGAATGGTCACTGGAAAACTTCAGTTGGACATGAATGAACATGAGCTGGCTAAAGCAGCTGGACCTGTATGGTATGAATTAAAGGTGCACCGATCTGATCTGTCACCAATCATGATTGGTCGATCACGGCCTAATTTTTGTGATTGGTGAAATGCGCCGATCAGAGGGGCCGATCAAACGTAGATTTCAGACTTTCTTACAGTAGATAATCTGGTGAAAACTCCACAGTATAGCGCCGCTCTAAACCGAGTTTTAAATGTAATTCGTGGCTACAAAACCGCTCTGGATGAAATGCTCGGCTGTATCCCTCTGCGCATGTCGGCTCTCCTCTTTCCAGACTGCAGTGTAACTAAACAAAACAATGATGAAGCTTGAGCTAACCCGCTATCGCTATGCTTTAAGACAAAGTATGTGCGTATGTGTTTGGCACCTCATGTCGCCGTCTCCTTGTGGAAGTTCTTTTCTTTCTTCAAATATTGTCTAATGTTACTGTCAAACTAATTTAGGCAGAAATGTGAGAAATTCCACACAGTGTGCTCACTTTTTCTAAACATTAATTGAACAAACAATATATATTTGTACCGTCAAATAATTCCTGCAACATTATAACATACATAATGGCTGAATTTATGTGTTGTATCAAATATATTTAAGCTGTTACTGATGCATTTAGACACAAATTATGTAATTTAGTGACAAATCTCAAAATTAAACAGATATAATCGACTTGAAAATGTCTGCACAGCTCATCAGCCG